CCTTGTCTTACGACCACAGTTGAATCCCGTATTTAACGTTGTTAAGTGAGACAGTGAAGTGAATTCTGCTCCACTTTATGCCACTTTCTTGCCACTGCTGTTAAGTGGATCACTGCAGTTGTTAAACGAATCATTTGGCATCTGGTTTCCCCCATTGACTTTGTTTTTAATATCTGATTTTTTTTTTTTAATAACAGTTTTTAATCTCTAATATTTTAATATGTAAAATATTGACATATTTTAATATTTGGGGAGGGGTTGGTGATGGTTGCGGCTTACCAGGGGCAAATAATGAGGAACAACACGACAAAATTGTAATGAACGTCAATTCATGTAAATTTAATTAATTAAATACCCTTAGAAATGAGAACAAGCAAGGTAGGGCCCCGTAACGTAGCCAACACAGCTAAATTAATCCTGCGGAACTCACCGCCACATGATGGAGCAGCGGGCAGCAATCTACATGCTTTGCAAGGAGATTGGAGATTTTAGACAGGGGATTATCACCGGTCCCACCCAGTGCCTGGCTGAAGAGTGGGTGGGTGGGGGGAATCAAGCATTGAGCCCCTGGCCTTTGATGTCCCTGCCAGTCGGGCCATCGGCTAAGCCCTTTTGATGGATGGCTTTGCAAAGTTTGCGCACGCCTCTTCCAAGCCAGGATTCCTGGATTGGGGCAGGCTTGCTGGAGAAAACCTTGTGGCCTTCAGGCCCGGTTGGCAGTTGGACCCTTCCCCAAACCCCATTGCCAGTTTGCATAACCCTTGATGAATTGAGTGAGGGGGCAGTGCGATCTTTTCATGTTTAAAAGGTCTAATTCAGAATAGAGCTGGAAAGGGACCTTAGAGGTCTTCTAAACCACCCCTTCTGCTCAAGTAGGGAGATCCTATACCATTCCGGACAAATGGCTGTCCAGTCTCTTCTTGAAAACCTCCAGTGATGGAGCGACCACAACTTCTGGTGGCAAGCCGTTCCACTGGTTAATTGTCCTCACGGTTAGGAAGTTTAATTCCAAGCTGCTTCTCTCCTTGGTTAGTTTCCTTCCTTCCTTCCCTCCCTCCCTCCCTTCCTCCTTCCCTCCCATCCAGTGGTGGCTGCAAATTTTTTAACAACTGGTTCTCTGCCCTAATGACTGGCTGAGGGGGGCATGTGATTGAGTGACAGGCCATTTTCTGGGCCTATTTCATCCATTTTCAGGGCATTTTTCAGTCCAAAAATGGCCCCAAAATGGCCTGTTTTTTGGCTGCTTTGGGGCCATTTTTAGGCTGTTTTTCAGGCCATTTTACACCCAGAAACCACCCAAAAAGGGCCCGAAAAATGGGCAGGGACGGGACCAGCCAATCATCCAATTTGCCTGTTCTTCGAACCATGCAGAATCAGAACAACCAGGTTGAGTGAACCGGTCCGAACCAACAGCAACCCACTGCTGCTCCCATCCATCCATCCATCTATCTATCCATCCACAGCATAATAGAATAACAGACTTGGAAGGACCTTGGAGGTCCTCTAGTCTAACCCTTGGCACAAGCAGGAGACCTTTACCCGTGATGGCAAAACCTACGGCACGCTTGCCACAGGTGGGAACGCAGAGCCGTTTGTGCCGGCAAGCGAGCTGCGCACGCGCACGCCTCACTGCGCACGCGCACGCCTCACAGCTGGTTTTTGAGCAGTTTGAGGCCTTTTTCGGCCTCACGGAGGTTTTGAGAAGGCTTCTGCAGGCTTCTGCAGGCTTTTCATGAAGAAAAGTAGGCCCGTTTGGTCACTTCCTGTTTTTCCGGAAATACTGGAAGTGACGAAACGGGCCTAGTTTTTGGCCTGCAGAAGCCTTCCTAAAACCTCTGTGAGGCTGAAAAAGGCCTCAAACTGGCTGAAAATCAACTGTGAGGCGCAGTGCAGGTAAGAAGGCGGGAGTGGGGGATTGCACCCGCATGCGTAGGGAGCGTGGGGAGGCAGGCATTGCCTTCTAGGTGCTGGCCCACAAGCGCGAGCGTGCAAGCGCGCGCACAATTTTTGGCACCGGAGTCCAAAATGGCAAGCCACCACTGCCTGATACCCTTTCAGACATCAACGGCTGTCAATCTCTTCTTTAAAAGCTTCCCGTGATGAAGCCCCTACAACTTCTTAACTCCAGATCGCTTCTCTCTTTGATTTGGTTTCCATCCGTTGCTTCTTGTCCTGCCCTCAGGGGCTTGGGAGAATAAGTTGACTCCCAGAATTCCCCAGCCAGCCATGAATTCTGGGAGTTGAAGTCCACTGGTCTTAAAACACAGGCCGTTTTGCTCCGTCTTTCCTAGAGAAACCGGACCCATCGCTCGGGGCAGCTGGAGTAATGTCTCTTCAACCTCGCCTTCCAGGAATTGGGAGCCGATCATATTCCAGAGTCTTCACTCGGATGTTCTTCCTAATCCAATGTTTCTCAACCTCAGCCACTAGACCAGTGTTTACCAACCTTAGCAACTTTAAGACTTGTGGACTTCAACTCCCAGAGTTCCCCAGGCAGCTTCTGAATTCGGGGAGTCGAACATCCACAGGTCTTTAAAGTTTCAAGGTTGGACACACTTTGAGTTTAGTGGCAGTGCAAAGAAAACGCGGAGGTGAATACACCTAATCTGGAACTCACCTGTTGGGGGCCAAAAGGGGGGGAAAAAGGAACAGCTTTAGAGGAAACCTGGGTTGGCAGAGGAGGAAAAATGCCGCCTTGAAGACTGGAAACTGGGGAAGGAAGAAAAAGGTGAAAGGAGAGCAGATTTAATCCACCTGACATCCTTCGGTCATTTCCTTTAAACCAGGGGGGTCACCAACCTTCTGGACCTCAGGGACCACCAAACTCATAATTTTAAATCCTGGGGACCACTAATATGAATTTTGACTGACGGTGGCTTGCTGACGGTGGGAGAGAGAGAGGGAAGGAGGGAGGGAGGGAGGGAGGGAAGGAAGGAGAGAGGGGGGATCTAATCTAACCTCCCTACCCCCCCTCTCTCTCTCACACACACACACACAGAGGCAGGGGTGGGATTCAAAGTTATTAATCGATTCTGTGGGCATGGCCTAATTTGTGGGTGTGGCTTGGTGGTCATGTGACTGGCTGGGCATGGCTTGTATGTAAATATTATAAATATTTATGTAAATATTGAATTTTTTTATTTAAAAAAAGAGCAACTTTTACCCAAAATCAGGCAAAGCAGGCAGGCAAACGGAGTTGCTCACAGAATCACAGATTCACTCAGAGATCTATCTTTCTGCCATTGGCTAACCGAGTCTGCACTGACAAAATAGAAGCTTCAGTCCCTAAGGAAGGTTTGGCTCTGGTTCAATCTAAAGATTAGCTAGAAAGCAAAGAAATGCAACGGTTTCTTGCTTCCTAGCTAATCTAAATCTCCCAGCACAGCAGAACAGGTGATGGTCGGGAGGAAAAAAAAGGAAAAATAGCAATTTAGCAGGCAAGTTTGCCAGGTAAAGAGTGAGTGGGTGGGTGTCAGCCTCAAGATATCTTCCATAATATGTATATTCTGCATTCTAACTATTGCTTCTCTGCTGCTAGGCCAATCTATTCCTTTCGGCTGTCATTTGCAACGGAGGGAGGGGGCAATTTGGAGGGTTTCCACGGGCCACGTGGGCGGCGCAGCCTTGTGTTTCTGTGCAGCCTGGATTAATTGCTTTGGGGGTGTTCTGGGGGTGAGATTTCTCTGCGGCCCACCAAAATGTTCTCATGGCCCACCATGCTTTAAACGACCCCATAATAATCCCTTGTGGGGGTGGTGTCTGAGTAACTGAATGGAGCTGAGTGTTTTACTGGCTGGATGCCCTTCCTGTCACCAATGGGGAGTTTTATTCAGCAGATAAATTCTTTTTTAAATAAGTGTATTGTTCTTTTACATTTAAAAAAAGAGAAATTATTCATAACATTGACAGTACTGTAGCGTTATTATTATACATATCTATCTCTTGTGCATATTGACATTTGTATACATTGTTATACGATTCCGTACATTTATCTATAGTCTGCTTACCTTAAATTTCTTTATTTTCTATTTGCCTAATTTCCAACCAATTATACCACATATCCCAAATTTTATGATATTCAGACTCTTCTTTATCTTTTAGGTTTTAGGGTCAATTTATCCATTTCGGCACCGTCCAAGATTTTTTTGGATTACCAATTTGTTGGGGTGGGGTGGGGTGTTTATTATGCTTCCAACATTGTGCATATGATGTTCTAGCCACGGTTAATATGTATATTACAATATATTTAATCTTTTTCTTATGTTTCTTTTTAAATATTCCTAGCATAAATAATTCCGGTTCAAATTCTATTTGTTCTTTTAACAATTTCTTGTAACCGTTGCCTAATTTTGGTCCAATATCTTTGAACTTCTGGGCAAGACCACCACATGTGGTAGAAAGGACCTTGTATCAGCAGATAAATTCTCATTTTGCCCAGAGAGAGAAATATCGGTCTCTATCCCTGTGCTGTCCGAGCCAGTCTATGGGAATTGGATAGTTACTTAGGAATTACGAGCTATCCCCTTAAGGGAAGGCATCATGGTCAATGTAGTGAAAGGTATCCTGGGAAACGTAGTCCATGTCACGTGGCCACATCTGTAATCCCGATTGGTCACGAATTTGACCCTCGATGGGTTGGGGAGAGTTTCCTTAATTTTGCCTGAACTCCCTAACTCATGGCAGCTGCTTTCTATCGCTACGAGATGGGTTAGGAGATAACCATCTTTTACTACAAGGCAGATATACAAAGGATTGGTCATTAAAGAAGAACTTCGTCACAAATGTGAGTTATGAGGATACCTGATGAACCAATAAATGTACTTTGTTATGGACGTCTTGTTGAGTTATCTATCCGCATCTGTACAGTTTATAAATCCATCTCTGTGCAGAAGTCACTGTGCCACTCAACCTGACATCCTTTGATGATGCCAAAAATTGGACTTGAACACCTGCTCCAGCTGCCCAGCTGACCTTACTGTGTCTCTCTCTCCTCCCAGCCCCCCACCCCCTCCACGCCATGAGTCGCCGAGTGGTTCGCCAAAGCAAGTTCCGGCATGTCTTTGGGCAGCCGGTCAAGGCTGACCAGATGTATGAGGACATTCGAGTCTCCAAGGTGACCTGGGACAGTTCCTTTTGTGCCGTCAATCCCAAGTTCCTGGCCATCATCGTGGAGTCAGGAGGAGGCGGAGCCTTTATGGTCCTGCCTTTGAGTAAGGTAGGTGGGCTTGGGGTGGGTTGGTGGGGGCGTCCATCCCAGGGGTGGGATTCAAATTTCTTAATAACTGGTTCTGTGGCGTGGCCTAATTTGTGGCTGTGGCTTGGTGGTCATGTGACTGGCTGGGCGTGGCTTGCTGACTGGGTGTGGCTTGGTGGTCACGTGACTGGCTGGGTGTGGCTTGTATTGTAAATATTTATGTAAATATTGAACTTTTTATTTAAAAAAAGAACAACCTTTACCCAAACTCAGACAAAGCAGACAGGCAGATGGCGTTGCTCACAGAATCACAGATTCACTTGGAGTTCTATCTATCTGCAATCTGCTACCTGAGTCTGTCACATAAAATTTGCTTCCAAGCAAACTCACAAAATTAACTCACAACACACCATGTATGTAAATATTGATTTTTTAATTTAAAAAAAGAGCAACTTTTACCGCAAAGCAGGCAAAGTAGGCAGGCAGATTGAGTTGCTCCCAGAATCACAGATTCACTCAGAGATCTACCTTTCTGCCATCTGCTACCTGAGTCTGCACTGAAAAATAGAAGCTTCGGTCCTAAGGAAGGTTCAGCTCTGCTTTTAGATTAGCTAGAAAGCAAGAAACCCAACCATTTCCTGCTTTCTAGCTAATCTAAATCTCCCAGCACAGCAGAACAGCTGATGGTTGTGGGGGGGGGGAAGGAAAAATAGGAACTTACCAAAAATTAGGCAAAGGCACAAGGCAGGCAAGTTGGACGGCATGCATGCCAGGTAAGGACTGACTGGGCTGGGTGGGGCCAGCCAGTGGCGCGATTTGCCGGTTCTCTGTAACAACTGGTTCAATAGAACCGGTCCGAATCGGTAGAATCCCACCTCTGCATCCATCCCCATGGGAGGAAGCAGCATTGAAGGCTCCCAAGGCGCTCCATAGCTATTCACAACAACCCTGCGAGGGAGAGAATCCCCTTGGCCCATATGCAATGTCAGCCATTGCAAGAGGCGAAACCAGCATTGACTTTTTTGCGATGGCATCTTGGCCCTTCCCCAGACGGGCTCCTAGATGGCTAACAATCCAGGCCTGCTACATTCGCACTCGGGGGGGCCTTGTGGCTACGAGTTACAGGGCTGAACGTGTGAAACAACCCCCTGAAACCATGCTAAAAACAAACCATGATAGAACCTCCAAGAGGAGGTTAACTGCGCCACCTTTTTGAGAAGGACGCAGAGAAAGGGATGAAGGAGAGTATTAAAGGATATTCAGGGGAGGAGAAATTAAGGCGAGGAGGAGGAATGGAAGGAGTCGAGATGGGTGTATTTAATCTTTTGGAAAAGACGATGGAAGAGGAGATGAAAGGACCTGATCAACAGCTGAAGGACATCAACAAGAAGAAGGATGACTCACGTCTTTGTCTTCTTTGGCTCCAGAGTTCAAGATGAGGGTTAACGGATTGGATTAAGATAATGTTTCTCAACCGGATTCGATTTTTGATTCTGGGCAAGCAAGATGGTTTTGGGGGTCCCTATTCTGGAGGGGTTTGAAGGTACCCGAAGGGCTCGACCAAAACCAAGCTAACTTTTGGGGTCTTCTGCCTGCCTGCTTGCTTCCGAAAACTCTTGTTGACTTCGCTTCTCTCTTGTAGACGAAATTTTTTTTTCTTTGGGCTTCAGGGGGGTAGAAAGGGTATCTGTGGGGTGGGGGAAGATGGGCCATTTTGCCCCACCTTTCCTAGAGAAGCTTGACCCATTGCTCGGGGCAGGAATGTGGAGCTGGAGAAATGTCTCCTCAACCTCTGTTGACCTCCTTCAGCTGTTGACCAAGTCCTTCCATCACCTTTTCTCAAGGGTGTAAATGTACCCAGCCGTACTCCTTCCATTTATTTTATTTATTTGATTTGTCAATCACTTACAAGATAATAGGTATAAGTATAAACATGAGTAAGAATACAGGAAATAGGTAAGGATAAATGGGGACAATAGGACAGGGATGGAAGGCAGGATGGTGCGCTTATGCACGCCCCTTACAGGCCTCTTAGGAATGCATATTCTCTCCCTTCCTTCCTTTCCTTCCTTCCTCCCAATCCCTCCCTTCTTTTCTCCCTCCCTTCTTTTCTCTCCTTTCTTCCTTCCTTCCTTCCTTCTCATTTTCCTTCTGTCTTTCTTTCCTCCCTCCCTCCCTCCCTTCTCTCTTCCTCCCTTCTCATTCCTATCACCTTCCTTCCTTGCTTCCTTCCTTCTCATTTTCCTTCTTTCTTTCGTCCCTCCCTCCCTTCTCGTTTTCCTCCCTTCTCTCCTTCCTTCTCATACCTATCACCTTTTTCCTTCCTTCCTTCCTTCCTTCCTTCCTTCCTTCCTTCCTTCCTTCCTTCCTTCCTTCCTTCCTTCATTTTTTATTTATTTTTATTTGATTTGTCAATTACTTACAAGATAATAGGTATAAATATAAACATGAGTAAGAATACAGGAAATAGGTATGAATAAATGGGGACAATAGGACAGGGATGGGAGGCACGATGGTGCACTTATGCATGCCCCTTACAGGCCTCTTAGGAATGGGGTGAGGTCAATAGTGGATAGTTTGAGGTTAAAGGAGTGGGGGGGTTAGAGGATGGAACAACAGAGTCAGGTAGTGCATTCCAGGCATTGACCACTCGGTTGCTGAAGTCGTACTTTCTGCAATCAAGTTTGGAGCGGTTTACATCGAGTTTGTATCTGTTTTGTGCTCTTGTATTGTTGAGGTTGAAGCTGAAGTAGACATTGATTGGTAGGACATTGTAAGCAGATAATTTTGTGTACTACGCTTAAGTCCAACCATAAGCGGCGTAGTTCAAGGTTGTCCAAGCCCAAAATCTCAAGCCTGGTGGTGTAGGGTATTCTGTTGCGAGCAGAGGAGTGTAGTAACTCTTCTCGTGAAATACTTCTGGACTCGCTCGATTGTATTAATGTCCGATCTACAGTGCGGATTCCAGACAGTTGAGCTGCATCCGAGTATTGGTCTAGCAAAGGTTTTGTATGCTCTAGTTAGCAATTCAATATTTCTCCTAGCCTTAATTTCTCATCCCCCTGAACATCCTTGATACTCTCCTTCATCCCTTTCTCTGCGGTCCCTCTCAAAAGTGGGCCCTCGAGATGAAGATGAACCAAACGGAACAATGAATGAGGACATCCTCTCTTCAGTCGTGTCCAATTCTTGGCAGTTCTATGGGCCAGGTTGCTTCCGCATCTTCTGAACTTGCACTTTGAGTAAATTGTCCCCCCTGGTTTGGAGGCAGGATGGAAAATCCCCCCCCACCCCAAAAAAAACCCCCAAAACTGGAGAGGATCAAATTGTTCCTTTTTTTATTCAAAAGTTGGCAGGCTCACCGTCCCTTCAACAAATAATACAACACAAGAGCACACAATAGATACAAACTCAAGGTAAACCGCACCAAACTTGATTGCAGGAAATACGACTTCAGCCACAGAGTGGTCAATGTCTGGAATCCTCTACCTGACTCTGTGGTTTCTTCCCCAAACCCCAAAAACTTTAACCTTAGACTGTCTACTATTGACCTCACCCCTTTCCTAAGAGGTCTGTAGGGGGCGTGCATAAGCGCACCAACGTGCCTACCGTCCCTGTCCTATTGATTCTTTTATTTTTCTTATATGTATCCATTTCATGTATTCATAACTATGTTTATACTTATACCTATTATCTTATAATCGCTTGACAAATAAATAAATAAAAAGAGAAGGACTTCCTTAGAACATTGTGCAAAGTTGGTTTGAGTGTGCACGCCCGGCCGTGTAACAGGAATGAGGAATCGGTTTGCAACTGATAAGGAAATGAAGTAACAGCGCGGAGAAGTGGCGTCCCTTGAAAAGGAGAGAAGATTGTGCAGAAATGAATAAGCTTACTATGGAGTTGCAAGAGAAGGAAAAAAGAGAAATCTATGCGGTCTGGGAGAATTTGTATGCTTGGATAGATAACAGGAATAATAGATAATGTATAAGGTAAATATGAATATTTATGAGAAGCACAGAGCTGAAGACACAAGCCTGAAGATGATGAATGAGACTTCATCGAAACGTCGCCTAGATACTTCCAATCTTACGCGGGAGAAAACCCGAATAACCAAAGATCCACATACAAATACCCGCGAGAACCTCAGAAAATAAATATGAATAATATATATATATGTATATTAATATGAATAATGGAAGATGGGAAAAACCGATGCTACAACGAATGGCAAAAATTGTGAACGTGATGTGGTTTTTTTTTTAATTTGTAAAACTTTATTAAAAATCATTTAAAAAATAATAATAGAAAAAGGAAAGAAGATGCTGCAGTCGAAATGCGGATTTGTTCCTTTGACACACCAAGATGCCGGATCTCAGTGTGATTTGCACAAGCTGATCCCTGCAAAAAAAAAAAAGATAAATAAGCAGGCCTAAGAGAGTAGAGCAGAAGAGAGTTAACAGAGTTGGAAGGGACCTTGGAGAGGTCTTCTAGTCCATCCCTCTGCTCAAGCAGGAAACCTTATATCATTTCAGACAAATGGCGGCGCCATTTCTTCTTTAAAACCACCGGTGTTGGATCACTTCTGGTGGCCAGTTGTTCTCCGGGTTAATTGTCCTCACTGTTAGGAAGTTTATCCTTTAATTCCAGGTTGCTTTTGTTGTGGCTCGCTGGCAGCCGGTGGGGATGGCAGAGGTATCGGATGGTGAGGATGAAAGGGAACCAGTTCGGGGGTCTGGAGAGGTTGGGGCCAGGACTCCCTGGGAGTGGGGTGCTGCCTTCGGAGCCGTTGGAGTCTGGCAGCAGCGAAGCAGAGGACCCCAGGGAGCCTGGGCCCATGGTGCACAGCTGAGAGAGCAGCTGACGCAGACTCGGGCGACTTAGGAATAAGGCTGGGGGGGGGGTGACTGCTCCTCCCATCAGGGATAAAAGCCAGCCCTTGTGGATGTGCTCTTTCCAGGAAGCAAAGAAGTTCATTAGATTCTGATTCCTCATCGCAGTCTGCGGACTCTGGTTTGTCT